AGTGGATGAGACAGAACTATGTTATCACGAGTTCATGACTTGGTTATAAAGTAGTATGGAACCTCAGGAAATGGAGGTTTTGACTTGGTAGTGAAGTACTATGGAGCCTCAGGAAATGCAGGTTTGTCGACACTGCTAAAGAAATTTAGGATACTTTGAAAGAAACATATTCGCCATATAAGAATATCTCTCAGATATATGAACTGCTTAAGAAAATGTTCTGATTGCAATAGGGTAATAAGAGTGTGACTGCATGTTCTAGTGCCCTTAGAGATGTGGGAAAAGTTGAATCTAAATCAGCCTACATTTGGTGACGAGGAATAACAGAGGAAGAAGCGTGAAGAATTTAAAGTTACCAAATTTTTACTAGGCCTCAATCCTAAGTAACATTGTGTTAATGGACAAATTTTTGCAAGCAATGAGCTACTGCCCCTTAATAATGCATATGCACGCATTCAATATGTCAATATATTTATCTATCCTACGCCTTCTTCTAACTTGAGTTTTACTGATGGATCAGCATTGAATATATTTGCGGGGAGAGATGATGGAGATGGAGGTAGAGGTCAGGGGTGTGGTCCTGCTTAGGGAGAAGCCACAATAGAAGCAATGGAGGCAAGAGTCGTAGAACTCAAAGTGTATGCTTATGCATACAAATCATATGGTTGATAAGTTTTGAGATAAGGTTGATAAGCGTGCTTGGGAAAATCAGGCTTGTTATACATCTGAGGATGATAACTTCAACAATAGTAAAATTATGTTGGTGATTCTGTTGTGCTTTCAATAGAAGAATGTAATAAACTTGTTAAACTTATCCACCCTTTCACGTCCACTATGACCCTTGTTAACTCGGATATTTACGTGCTTCTTGCATCTCAAAAACTTGCTCCATAAGGTTAGGAGCTGCCGACCACATGACTAGTGAATCCTCTGCTTTTTGTACATCTAGATAAGTGTGTTCCCAATTCCTCTATTACATTTTGTATATCCAAAATTCTAAAAGATGAGATACGTAGAAGATCCCTTTCTAGGATCTTAGGATCGAGCTTCTGGAATGAATCACCAACTAAAGTAGGTGATCCCGGTAACTATGAGGCATCCAGATGCCAAACCATTGTGTGATGTGTCTACAAGATTAAACTATCACCATCTCTTTATGCACTATGGGTCTCTTTATGCACTATGGGTGGCCTCCGTAAAATGGTTCAACCACCTCCATGCTTTCGAGTGACATTGGGTCATCCCGACATCAATCCCCCAACTCTTTACTGTCTTCCTAACTGCGAGCTTCCCCAGAATAGGTGGATTCCAAAAGAAGGCCCCAGTAATGGCTACCTTATGGATTTTTTGGAAGGAGAGAAATTCCATGATCTTTCAAGCACAAGTAACCTTGTATCAACCGTTCAAGATGACATCAAAGCTGAGACAATCCTTTGCACTGAGGGTTTTAAAGGCCAAAGGGATTTAGGAACCTCTAACTTCATCAATCATTGAGATGGCATCCCTTACCTCAAATCAGACACACGGTCCGGGCCTCTCCTTCCATAGGGTCCCCAAATTAAACATGGACGGCTGCTCCCCTAAGAAACCCAATCGGTCAGGCTCTGGGGGTATTCGAAAGAGCACCCGATTCTTTCCTTCTCAGGATTTATTGGTCACACCGGATCCACAATGGTAGAGACGATTACTCTTTTAGAAGGCCTCAAGTGTACTCAGCAAGCCAATATCCATATAACCCACTTTATCATTGCAGGTGAGTGGGTGGCTCTAGAAATGTCATTGCATGGGCTTCAAGATGTGCTAAAAGCTCATGCCGATTAGGGCACCTCTATGATAATATGCACCTTTTATGTTACACTTTACAAGTCAGTTTCAGAAACATACTAAGAAAGGCCAATAATTTGACTGATGGTTGTTGTGCTTTCAATTGAAGAATGTAATAAACTTGTTAAAACAGTATAGCAGCCTACCATCCACCCTTCCACTTCCACTATGACCCTTGCTAACTCGGGTATTTATGTGCTCCTTGCATCTCAAAAAATTACTCCTTAAGGTTGGGAGCCTCCAACCACATGACAAGTGAGTCCTCTATTTTTGTATTTTTAAATCATCGCATTCCCAATTCCTCTATTACTTTTTGTATATCCAAAATTCTAAAAAATGAGATACATAGAAGATCCCTTTCTGGGATCTTATGATCGGGCTTCTGGAATGGACCACCAACTAATGAGTGATCCCGGTAACTATGAGGCATCCAATTGACAAACCATTGTGTGATGTGTCTACAAGAAGAAACTGTCACTATCTCATTATGCCTTATGGGGTGGCCTCCGTAGAATGGTCAAACCTCCTCCAAGATTTCGAGTGACATTGGGTCATCCTAGCATTAGTCCCCCAACTCTTCATCATCTTCCTAACTGCAATCTTCTCCAGAATAGGTGAATTCCAAAAGAAGGCCCCAATAACGACTATCTTATGGGTTATTTGGAAGGAGAGAAATTCCATGAACTTTCAAGCACAAGTATCCTTGTAACAACCATTTACGATGACATCAAAGCTAAGACAATCCTTTGGGTTTTAAAGGCTAAAGGAATTTGGAAACCTCTAACTTCCTCGATCATTGAGAAGGCATCCCTCACCCCAAATCAGATACACAGTCCAAGCGTATCCTTCCATAGGGTCCTCAAATTAAACATGGTCGGCTGCTCCCCAAGGAAACCCAGTCAGTCAGGCTCCAGATGTATCCTAAGCGCCCTATTCTCTCTTTCTCAGGATTTATTGGTCGCACCGAATCCACCATGGTAGAGACTATTACACTTTTAGAAGGCCTCAAATGTATTCAGCAAGCCAATATCCTTATAACCCACCTTATCATTGCAGGTGAGTGGGTGACTCTAGAAATGTCTTAGCATGGGCTTCAAAAAGTGTTCAAAACCCATGGAGATTGGGGGTACCTTTATGACAATATACGCCTTTTATGTCATTGCATGGGCTTCAAAAAGTGCTCAAAGCCCATGGTGACTAGGGTACCGTTATGAAATATCACCTTGTATGTCAGACTTTACAAGTCAGTTTCAGAAACATACTAAAGAGAGGCCAACCATTTGACTGATGGCCTGGAGAAGGAAGGGGCAGCAAGTGCACCTGCATCACAAAGCTCCCCTTCCTAGCTTCAAGACATTGGTTTGTGGAGTCACTTAGTTTGTGGGTTAGAGAGAGAGCTAGATTTGTGGAGTTAGAGAGAGCTAGTTTTGAGGCTAGGGGAGAGAATGAAACTAAAGTTGTGAATTAGAGAAGGAGAAAAAGATAGTTTTGTAAAAGGAGAAAAAGATAGTTTTGTAGCCAAGAGGGAGAGAATAAAGTTCTATATATGATTATTGATAGTTTATGGAATGCATATAGGCTGGGAACACTATATCGATTGTATAATTTAAAAGTAAAATAGTTTATAACTTGTAAGTTGGGTTTTTATTGGCTAGCTAATCAATATTACTTGGATATAAATTCAAACAGGTCGAGTTAGGCCTATGAGTCACGCCGGACCATGATTCCATTGCCCAGGATTGGTGCAACCCTGCGACCGAACTGGAATTCAAGACAAGGCCCAAGCACTAGGCCAAATTTAGTGGCGTCAGCCCGAGCTTTATAGGGATGGTTGCCAGTCCTAGTTTGAATCCCCATTTATTTGACTAAGCCTAGGACTCGAGCTATCCTTATTAGGGATGGTTGCCAATCGTAGTTTAAATCCCCATTTATTTGACTAAGCTTGGGACTCATACTATCTTCATTTTCCTAAACTTCCTAGGCTTCTCGATTGTTTCAATACTCAAGCTATCTTTATTTTCCTAGACTTCCAAGGCTTCCAGATTGTTTCAAATCAACTTATATATTATTTTAAAACTTCTTCATAAAACATTTTAGGTAGGGCTGGGCCTATGGGCCGAGCTTCAACATGGACCCTGGCACAAGCCAACCCCAGGCCTAGCATGCTGGACAAAGTTCGTGGCCAGCCCAAGCTTTATGAAGCTGGTTTGGTCGGGCTAGCCTGCCTTACCTATACTAGCCAAAATCCCTATTTATTTCATTTAACTTAGTCTTCAACTTATTTCCCAAACTTCATAGGCTTGTAGACTCTCTATATTTTCCAAAACTTCTTAGGCTTCCATAATCTTTAAATTAACTAGTTCATTCATAGTTTTATCCCTTTAAAGAAACTAGACTCTTACAAACCATGGAAAGTGTATTTTCTATAGCTTTTAAAGTTTAAACAAAAATAATAAGCTATCCTTGCAAATATGAAAGAGGAACAACATTCTAAAAGCTAAAACGGATTCTGACTTTCCTAAGTAAATCACATGACCTATTTATATGAATATTAGTATTTGAATTTTTCAACATGCTTTCAACCATGATTTGCTCAAGACAACGGATTTAGGGTAAACTGAAAACTTCTGGGAGAAAGTTTTTATTTGATATTTGAATCAATATCAGGGTGAAAAATTACACCCTCCAAACTGAATGTGCTACATGAACCCCTTGGAAAACAAACAAGAAAACAATTTGGGGGTCCACCATAGTAAAACTGATTAATTCAAGATACAATCACCAAGAAACAAGTAGATGAAATTCAAGAATATTATATTCAAGTGCAATTACAACCCGTTATAGAATGGACCCGGTTTCTATGCAGCCAAGCCCGCATATGTAGAAAGGAGGGTCTCTTAAAAAATCTATTTTTGAGATGGATTTTAAGACTTAAATTTTAAGGACATGTAATCTCTAACATGGAGATCATGAATATGAAGAAATAAATAAATTTTTAAAACTAAAAATAATAATTCTAATAAGAAAACATTTGAACCGTTATTTTCCCTTGTTTTTAGATGGAACCCCTACTTGCATCCATCTTTTATCCATTTTTAAGATGGATGCTTTACACTTCCTGGACCGCATTTCTACGTACCATGAAAGAATTTTCCTCATAGAATTCACATACATACCATGAAGGTTAAATCTCCCACTCCCCTTTAGCCAGAAAAGGTTTTCACAAATCTTTATCCCATCAGTTTTAAATCCATATTGGGAACCAGCAGATGACAAGAGCTTCAAGGCACCAGCTCCATAATCACCAATGAAATAGGTGGGAATTGGAACTGGTTCATCCCCACGTATATAACGCATCATCTCATCGACTTCTTCAGCGTTGTTGGGGAAGAACTGACCCACACAGAACAGGGCATCGAAAGGGCCATTAGACTTGCTCACCTGTGAGTATGGCGAAGCAAGTAACAGTGAGAAGCAGTATGAGTACAAAAGGGGGATGGGAGAAAAGGAATGGTAGAAGAGTGAGAAGAAGAAGAGATAGAAGTAAAAAGGGCTTTGGAGCTTACAGATGTGACTCGCTTGAAGACGATATTGAAGCGGCCTAAGACGTCGCCGCATAGAAGGATTCTGGGTGGTGCCATTATTGATTCTTAAACAACAATAAGGAGGAGAGAAGAGATGTTGCAGAGCGATGACGAAAAGTAGGGCATCCACCATGCAAGTTTGAGTTGTCTATACTCGTGCCTCACTCTTTTAAACATTGGATGATTTGTATTCAATCTTGAGATTTTATTTTTTGAAAAATGTTTATAAAAGGTTGAGCCCCTAAACAATCAGGTACATCTCGAAATTTTACTAGAGATTATTTCAGTGCCTCAAGTTCGATCATCTGATTGACCTCAACATGCAATATGAGAAAAAAAATTATTTTTAATTTAAAAAATAGTACATCTGGTAATGTATTATCTAAATGAAGATAAAAATAAATTCCCAAATTGTTGTAAAGATTGATTATATTGAAATAAAATATTTTGGTCATCGATTAACAATAATAAGTCCAACCGTTGTACTTTTGAACTACACTTTGAGCCCAAAAATAATTTAAATGTTTGAGCGGACTGACAATGCAACTTGATTGAGAATGCAACCTTTGTATTAAAGATGTTCGATCTACACTATGTTTTAATCTTAAAATTTTTTAATTAAAGATGAAAATAAATTCCCAAACTGTTGTAAAGATTGATTATATTGAAATAAAATATTTTGATCGTCGATTAACAATAATAAGTCCAACCGTTTAACAATAATAAGTCCAACCGTTGTACTTTTGAACTACACTTTGAGCCCAAAAATAAGTTAAATGTTTGGGCGGATTGACAATGCAACTTGATTGACAATGCAACTTTTGTATGGAGTTCAACTTTCAAACGACCCTTTATGCAATAAAAACTCAATTATGAGTTCTTGCTCTAGAACCAATGTTTTATTCAGAAAAATAAATAACAAGTTTGAAAGCTAGAATTTTAAATTTGATAAAAATGAATAAAACCCAACCTCATCATAAAATCTCTCAAAATATCGACCACTTTGTAATACCGAAAAAAGCTTTAGGTCACATAATAAGAATAAGTGAAATAAGTTTTTGTTCTAAATATCTTCAAAAAAGCATTCTATGTAACCCCACTCACATATCTACTATCTATGTATCTACTATATGTGAAGAGAAAATATATATTGTTTATCAGGTTAATATGGAAGGTGTATATTATAATTAGTATATATGGGAAGGGTAGGTACAATATATTGTATTTATGGTAAGTCTGGATATAGTATAGCTATATGTGATTTGTGAAACATGCACAACAATTGCTGCTGAAACATAGCTTGTTTTTTTTTTTTTGATGGCAGAATCATGTAACAAGCATTCATGTAGAGATAAAGTTTTAAAGACTTTGACCATAAATAGAAAGTCCATGAGAAACAAAGGAAGAGAGAGACCAAAATTGGAGACTGCGCGGTGAAAGTCGCGGCTTCATCAAAAGGGTAACATCCATGGTGTTTCTAAAGCTTATTGATTGGCTGCTAGTCAAACTTTTAATATTCTTTTTTTTGTTTATAAGGTTTGTTGATCTGTAATTGCTTTAGTCTGCCTGATCTGGTATTCCTCTGTGTTTGTGAATCAAATTGTGTTTTATTTATCAAGCAATCTGATTATGCACCTGAAGAACTTGAAGAATCCAGCAGCTCCTTTATGCAACTTAGTGTTCAAACTTCAGCTACTCTCTCTCATAGCATCTTGCGTTTGAGATGAGTGTTAATATGGAAGGTGTATATTGTAATCAGTATATATGGGTTTAGTAGGTACAATATCTTGTATTTATAATAAATCTGGATATAATATAGGTATCTATGATTTATTTCTATTTTTTTGTCATCTGTAATTGTCTCTGTATATTCATACAATTAATGAACACTAACTCTCTTTAGAAAAAATTGAGACTCTTCACACTACATCTACCTTATATTAAGCGAGAAGGGCCTCTGCACTCTCGCACTATTTTATGACACGTGTCCCTCTCCCTATTCTTTCTCTTTTATAAAAAATTGTCAACCCTTATCTCTCCTTTTTAAGTCAAAGATTCCAACCTCTTTAAATCTCTCCAACTCCTAAAAACTCTATATATATATATATATATATATATATATATATATATATATATATAT